TGCCAGCACCTGTGGCTACATGAATCAGGAGAAGCCTCCAGACTGACCTATGAATTTAGAACATTCCAGCCTCTACAACCACGTGAACCCATGAGCCATTTCCTTGATATAAGTCTTTTTATATATTTAAATGCTTTGCTCGTTTTACTTCTCTAGAGGACACAACTTAAGACATTTTATATACATACATACTTTATATATTATACATACTTTATATATTATTATATAAAACCAAAAAAAGCACTGCTGTTGAGTCGATTCCAACTCATAGCGAACCTCTAGGACAGAGTAGAACTGCCCCATAGGGTTTCCAAGGAGTGCCTGGTGGATTCGAACTGCCACCCTTTTGGTTAGCAGCCAAACTCTTAACCACTGTGCCACCAGGGTTTCCATATATTATATATACTTTATGTATTTCCATATTATTAGAATATTTTTACCACTAGTATATATTACCTCAGGAACCCTGGTGGTGCAGTGGTTAAGCGCTCGGCTGCTAACCAAAAGGTCAGCGGTTCAAATCCACTAGCCACTCTGTGGGAGAAAAATGTGACAGTCTGCTTTTGTGAATATTACAGCCTTGGAAACCCTATGGGGCAGTTCTTCTCTGTCCTATAGGGTTGCTATGAGTCAGAATTGACTCGATAGCAGTGGGTTTTGTGGTGGGTTATACATTACCTTTATTACCAGAAAGAAAACAAAAAAGCAAGATTCCTAATCTGGACAGTTATATATAACACAGAGTTTAGGCATTGTATTAATTCTTAATATTTGGGAGAGGAGTTACAGACCCTTGAGAGATTGATGAGATCAATATTCTCTATTCCCACAAAAAAAAAACAACACTTAACTACACATGCACTCACAAACACAAGTTTGCATACAACTTCAGGTAGTCCACAGACTTGGTCAGTTGAGAACGCCTACTCTAGGTTAATCAGTATGGTCAGTGGGGAGAGTTCTCTGGGATCAGGCATAAATTTGCCTGAGGGGGCACCAAGGTGGGTGTGGACTGGAAAGCAGTGATCCTGCATCAAGGCTAAGTTCTTCCTGGATGCCCTGGAGTTAAGGAGACCAGAGATAAGAGGCCCAACAGGGTGCACTTCACAGGCTAGGTGGGTGTCAGCAGTGACTAAGGGCAGACAGCAGGCAGGCCTGGGTGCTATCCCCTCAGCAGTCACTTCTTCAGGCTTCTTGAAAACTCCCAGCTTCAGGAGTAGGTGGGAATAGCAATTCTCATAGGCTGAGTTTCCTCTGTGGGAATTTGGTGGAGGGAGGGAGGAGGGAAGGAAGGAAGGAGCCAAAGGCAACTACTCAGGTCACCAGCTCGGTCACCTGTCCATGTATATTTTTGGAGTGAGCAACGTCAGGTGTCTGAAGCAGAAGATGAGAGACTCTGGAATATGGGAGGGGTGGAGGGAGCAGCACCTTCCCCACCTGTTTACTGGGCAGGGAGGATCAGAACATCTCTGCAGCCCTCAGACCCTCAGCTGCCTGGGTCTCACAGCTCTTCCCTTTGCCCAGAACTAAATCACTAGACTGGAACCTAATCCAAGGACAGGTGTTCAAAACTGTCGTGGTTATAGCCATCAAATTACAGGAGATTCACACAGCAGTCAGCAATGGTTTGGGAACATTAAATAAATGTGTTTCTCTAACAGAACAAGACAGGATCATTTATTTATCCACCTTACAAGCTGTCCCCGAAGGAGAAAAAGTAGGGTATTATTTGTCCAAAATAAATAAAATTGGACAACTGAACATCTCCCCATGGATCAATTTACACGTCATATGGAAATACGCTAGTCTTGTTGAGAAAATTTCCATTTTTAGATGTGCAAATACCTTAGCATGTTTTGAAATGGTCTTACGTGGCCAATAGAATTAATTTCCTATGGGATAAAAATTAACCAAAATTAATGGTGCCTTCCAATTTAAATGAGAAGTCTTTTTTTTTTTAATAGAGCATGCCCCTCTTTTTCGTTGCTGTTTCCCACTGTGAGTTCTTGTTTTATTGTATTTTCTTACTATAAAAATAAAGCGTGGTGATAGTTTTAAAAACAAACTAGAGGAGTATTACAAAAGTACAGACCTCAGTCTCAACTCCGTGTCTCTTTGCCGATATTGGAGCAGGGACCACACTGCAAGGGGAATGGCAAGCACGAGTGGCTGGGGGATTGGAAGTAGAGAGAGGAGAAGATGTCCAGCAGCCTAAGAAAGGATGAAACAATTCCCCAACACAAAAGTACAATTTGCCAATAGCACGCCAAGAAGATGCAGTCCCTCCCTGGTAACCAGAGAAAGGCAAACACTAACAACAGGGAGAAAGGGCTACTTTTGGCCCCTGGGGCTACAAAGACAAAAAAAATGAGTGACAGGACCTGGTGTGGTGGGGTGAAGTGAGGTTGGGGGGTAAAAGAGAGGGCTCATACTCCTGGTGGGAGTGGAAATTGGGGACCCGAGCTTACTGGCGATGCAGTTTTCACGTGACCAGGAGCTGACGTGGGCAAAGGTACTTAAAGCCCTGACCGCCGTCCTCCGTCCTCCTCTGGGTACCAACTCTCTATTACGCTACGCACAGCCGTGCGTTTTAACCCAGGCGAAGAGGAGGAGGAGGAGAAAATTCCCCCAGATCCGGGCAGGTGGGTGTGAGGGTGGGCACGGCCTGGGAGCCCTGAGCAGGGGCAGCTCAGAGATGCCTCGTCCACTCCTGGCCGGCTTTCCTGTCACCAGCGCTCTGTCGCAGCTCATTTTGGTGGGCGGCGGGGAGAGGGGGAGGGGGAGTGGAAAGACTTTGCTTAGACTTCTCGAAGAATCCGCTTACTCCCTCTGGCAGCCAGTGTGGCTCCACTTTGGTTTTGACACTCAGGCCCCGCGACCCACACTGGGTCCTGTCTTGAGAGTAGGGAAGAGAAATAAACTTAGCAGCGCATCTAAGGCCAGTGGGGATACTGGGAAAGGGTGAACGGAGGGGCATGCAATCTAGTAACCTTTCAGGCAATTCACTCCCACCCTCACTTTGCAGACACCTCCCCTGACCACCGACCCTCGCACTCCGCTCCCCCGGCCCCCTGTCCTTTGGGGTGCCGAAAAATGTGTGTGCCAGCCCCTGTCGGGGGGGATAGCGCGTTTGGCGCTGTCCGGGCTTCACAGGAAGGGGAACACTGAGAGAATCTGCGGTTAAACCGCCGTACCAGCTCCCAGACTGCTTTCCAGACATCTCGGGCCCACACCGCCCTTCACTCCTTCCCCCCGCCCACGTCTTTTCAGTCCTAGAAAGGGAATTCGGGTTCGCAGGTGGGAGAAATGGCGGTTATCGGGGAGATTTGGGTGGAGGGTGGGAGGCGGAGCCCAGAGTGGAGACACAGTGGAAAATCACGACCTGAACCCGAAAACGCAGTCATTGGGGCCCCTGTTCTGCAGACTAAGGCTAGGCCTGAGGGGGCTGGGGAGTGAAGAGAGGGTCATCACAGGAGGGGGACACTAGATTGTTAGGCAGTAATCCTCGGTACGGTACGGCGTCCCATCCAGCTTTCGCTGCATCTCGCCCCGCCCCGCCCCCTCTGCTTCAGTGCAGAGAAGGGGTGTGGTGGCATGTCCCCAAGAAATGGCGGACGGGGGGGCGGGGCAGAGTGGAAGGAGGGGTTGAGTGCCTGAGGAGACTGCGCTGGAGGGGGAATTGGGATGAGAGGGGAGGGGTCGGAAATGTTGAGGGAATTTGAGAGGTAGAAATATTTGACATTCTGGTATACGAATTCTAAAAGGCAATTGTTGGAACTCTTGTCCTGGGTCCTGATCCATCCACCAGGCTCTCAGCCTCCAACGTCTGCTGTCTGTATGTCTGCCCTTCAGTCTGTCCTTAGGATGAAGTTCTAACTGAACTGAAGGAAGGATAAACAGCCCTGAATCTTTGAAGGTCAGTATTGAGGAGTGGAAACTGTCTGGGAACCCCTGGTGTGGGTGTGACAGAAACCAGAGCAGAGTCTGGGATCAGAGGCTCCTCCTCCTCTTCCATTTTCTCCACTCTACGAGGCACCCTTGCCCCTTGCCCCGCCCCTGTCCTTTTTGGTGCAGGGAAAGGGGTGTGGCGTCAGCCTTCTTAGGAAATAATTTAAGGGGGAGGGAGTAGGGAAAGGAAGAGGAGCCCTGAGAGGGAGAACCTCTTGACTTACAGGGGTTCAAATCAGCAAAGGGACCGGTGTCAGAACACCGAGGCTCCTTTCAGCCCCTGCACAACTACAAGCTTGGAGGGAAAAGAGCAAACTGCTCCTGATTCCAGCAGGTTGGTATGTATATGAGTACCCTTTGCAGACCCTTGGTGTAGGGAGGTAAGGGGTAGGGATCAGAGCAGAATCTGGGATTTCTACCACCTTTCCCTGCTCTCCATCAGCTTTCTTGATGCTCATACTGCCTCTGATCCCCCTCTTAAACCAAACCTGTTGCCATCCAGTTGATTCTGAGTCATGGCAACCCCATGTGTTACACAGTGGAACTGAGCTCCATAGGATTTTCTTAGCTGTCATCTGTACAGAAGCAGATCTCCAGGCCTTTCTTCTGCGTGGTGCCACTGTGTGGGTTCCACCCGCCAACCTTTAGGTTAGTAGTCCAGGGCAAACCGTGTGCACCACCCAGGCCCCCATCCCCCACTTAGGTGCTGGGAAATTGTGTATTGGATTGGCAGAGCGGGCTAGAGATGAAGATAAAACTTTGGACAACCAGGGCTCTGAATGAACAAATGCAGGCCTTGGCACCTGTGTCCTGGGTGCTAGCTTGCCACCTAGCATTGTGTCCCCACTCTCTATTTGAAGTAGGCCTTGGTTGGCACAAGGTGAGCCGGAACCCAAAGTCTCGTTTCTATCCTGTACCCTTAGGTCCTGCTCAGCTTGCAACCTCAGCAGAACTTGTTAGCCTGAGCTGAAGAGCCTCGCCCAGACGCGCACGCATCCCACTTGGGCAAGCCAGCTCTGCGCCCTGGATCAGAGAATCACCTCAGCTGCACCATGAGCCGCCTTCGGGATGCTGGCTGTGTAGCCGCGGGGATAGTGATCGGGGCTGGCGCGTGGTACTGTGTGTTCAGATACGCCAGGGGAAGAGACCAGAAGAAGAAAAGACTGGTCAAGGCCAAACCCAGGGCCGTGGCCGGGACTGGAGCCAAGGCTAGAGCCGGGCTAAGGGCAGGATTCACAATCGACCTTGGGCCTGGATTTGGTCCTCCAGCCCCAGTGCTGGCTGGGGCACAGGACAGGGACCAGGATGAAGCCTCCACACTGAACGCTGCTGGAGCTGAGGCAGCAGTCCCAGCTGCAGCCAGTGCTGAGGCTCAGAGTGGGGCAGGAAGTCAGGCCCATGAGGCTGATGGGGCTGGAGTTGGGCCTAAGGCTGAAACAGTAGTCGCAACTGCAGTGCCTTCTGAAATGGCACCGCCTCCCAGGGAGGCAGAGACTCCTGGGGCTACAGAGGCTCCCACAATGCCAGGGACTCCCAAATTGACAGAAGGCCCCAGTGCAGCTGAGGATCCTGCAGTGGCACCTCCAGGGGCAGCAGAAGCTGTGAGGGCGATGGAGGCCCCCATGGCAGCAGCGCCTACTGAGGTGGCGGAGGCTCCCGGGGTGGCAGCGTCTACTGGGGCGGCAGTGTCTACCGGGGCGGCAGCGTCTACCCGGGTGGCAGTGCCTACCGCTTCTGCAGAGGCTCCCGGGACTTCAGGGTCCTCTAGAACAGCTGCAGTTCCTGGAACAGCAGCCACCAAGAGAGCGACCCCTGGGGCACACACTGGGGCTATACCCAAGGCCGGGTCAGCGACTGGAGCTGTACCCAAAGGTGGGGCCAAGGGTGGAACCAAGTCCCGTGCTGGAGGCAAAGGCAAGGGCAAGAAAAACAAAGCTGAAGTAGACGAATTGGGGTTGGGCTTCCGCCCTGGGGATGGGGCGGCAGTAGCTGCTGCAGCCTCAGCTAATGGGGGACAGGCTTTCCTGGCAGAGATCCCTGATTCTGAGGAAGGTGAGTCCGGATGGACTGATACAGAGTCCGATTCAGACTCTGAGCCTGATACCCAGCGCAGAGGGAGGGGGAAGAGACCTGCTCACATGCAGAAGCGCCCCTTTCCTTATGAAATTGATGAGATCCTGGGTGCCCGTGACCTCAGGAAAGTCCTTACCTTGCTTCAGAAAACAGATGATCCTTTCATCCAGCAGGTAGCTCTGCTCACCCTGAGCAACAATGCCAATTATTCATGCAACCAAGACACAATTAGAAAATTGGGTGGCCTCCCAATTATTGCAAACATGATCAACAAAACCGATCCTCACATTAAGGAAAAAGCCTTAATGGTCATGAATAACCTGAGTGAGAATTATGAAAATCAGGGTCGGCTTCAGGTATACATGAATAAAGTGATGGATGATATCATGGCCTCTAATCTGAACTCAGCAGTACAGGTAGTTGGGCTAAAATTTTTAACAAACATGACTATTACTAATGACTACCAGCACTTGCTTGTCAATTCCATTGCAAACTTTTTCCGTTTGTTATCTCAGGGAGGTGGAAAAATCAAGGTTGAGATTTTGAAAATACTTTCAAATTTTGCTGAAAATCCAGACATGCTAAAAAAACTGCTCAGTACCCAAGTGCCAGCATCCTTTAGTTCACTCTATAATTCTTATGTGGAATCAGAAATTCTTATTAATGCCCTTACTCTATTCGAGATCATCTATGACAATCTCAGAGCGGAAGTATTCAACTACAGAGAATTCAATAAAGGTTCCCTTTTTTTCTTGTGCACTGCATCTGGAGTGTGCGTTAAGAAAATTCGAGCCTTAGCAAATCACCATGACCTCTTGGTGAAAGTGAAAGTTATAAAACTAGTGGATAAATTCTGACTGGCTGTGCACTCTCAAAGAACTTGAAGAAATTTCTTGGTTTTGCAGTCTGGGAGCATTGAAAAGTGCAAGTTACTGCTTTTCCACTTTGCTCATATAGTAAAGGGATATTTTCAGCTGCCAGTTTTGAATAATGTATCATCCAGAGTGATGTTATCTGTGACAGTCTCCAGCTTTAAGCTGCATCATTTTATGAATACTAAATAAACAGTCCTCTTGTACTGAAAACACATTTGTGACTTTAATCGTGCTGCTTGGATGGAAATATTTTTACTGGTTCCTGTATGTGAAGTGAAAGTGAACCTGTCCATCACGAATAGCCTACATTTCTATCATTTGTTTTGACTTGAATTTATCCACCAAAGATTTCATTTGTGTATCATCAATAAAGTAGTATGTTTCAACGGACAAAAAATTGTTCTCATGCTTAAATTTAAAATCTAGCTGGAGAAATAAATACCAAAGGATTACTAACAGTCCCCAGGCATATGTTCATTGTCAAATGTGTGCTATCTGGTTAAATGAAGCATAGGTTGCTGAGGAAGTTTCAAGGAGAAAGGGCATACTTATGGCGGGCCCTAAGGGACAGCATGAGAAAACTTAGAAGGGCATTCTAGGAGGGGGAAATGGTATGAACAAAGGCATGGAGGTTGGAAATATGTTCCTGTGATAAGGAGGAAACCAGTCTTCCTGGAGTGGAAGCTGTGGGAAGAGGAATGATGAGAGATAAAGGTGAAAATTTAGGGTGAGGCAAGTTTAGGGAAGATCCTGAACCCCAAGCTGAGATATTGGAATATTATTCTGTCATGTTCTGGGAGTCAATGAGCATTTTTGACTAAATAAAAAATAATCTAGTTGCAATGTGCAAGATGAATTGGAGTTGGGATGGAGGTAAGGGTGGAGTCTGGATATGAGGACATTTGTTAGGAAATTATCATGATAAACTAAGCATGAGATGATAAAGGGTGAAATAGAGTGGTGGTGACTATAGGAACTGTTAGGGAAAGATGGTAATAAGAGACTCCTCCAAAAAAAGAAGTACCAGGATCTGCTGGCTGAGACTTGGCTGTGGGGCGACAGAAACGGAGGACTGTATGATCCAGCACAGGTCCTGACAGGGAAAGTCCCTCTTCCTAGGACAACTCTGGTGACCACCAAAGGCCAAAGTGGGTTACCATTTTGAAGGATGATTAAAAAAAACGGCGGGGCAGAAAGAATGATCCCTGGTGCAAACAAGTGTTTTAGGTCCAGGTCGGCCTTCTTCTGGAAGAGGGACAGTGGTGTGGCCTTTATGGGAGGAAGACCCTCTCTGGGAGTCCCCTGAGTTCACTTAAAAACAGATGCACCTACCTTCTTCCCCTCCCTGGCTTTCTTAGTCATCTAGTGCTGCTGTAACAGAAATACCACAGATGGATGACTTTAACAAAGAGAAATTTATTTTCTCACAGTCTAGTAGGCTAGAAGTACAAATTCAGGGTGTCAGCTCCAGGGGAAGGCTTTCTCTGTTGGCTCTGTAGGAAGGTTCTTGTCATCAATCTTTCTTTGGTCTAGGAGCTTCTCCATGCAGGAACCCTGGGTCCAAAGGACATGCTGTGCTCCTGGCACTGCTTTCTTGGTGGTATGAGGTCCCCACCACCACTTGCTTCCCTTTCCTTTTATCTCTTATAAGATAAAAGGTGGTGCAGGACACACCCCAGGGAAATCCCCTTTACATTGTATCAGGGATGTGACCTTAGTAAGGGTGTTACAATCCCACCCTAATGCTCTCTAACATAAAATTACAATCACAAAATGGAGGACAACCACACAATACTGGGAATCACGGCCTAACCAAGTTGACACATATTTTGGGGGGACATAATTCAATCCATGACACTGGCTCACTGAAACAATGAAAGAAGAACACGGAAGGTGTCCGAGAGATTTTCTAAAACCAGCCTACTTTCCTGACATCCTTCATAAAACCCTAAGTTTTGCACCAGTGCATGGTAGGCTGTGGCAGTGATGGGGATAGGGACTCCTAGGAAGGAGACATATAGAAAAAGGATAGACTGGCATTACATATTGGTACAACTTATTATTTGGAACATAATTTGGCAATATGCATAAGAAGTCTTAAAAATGTGCATGCCCTTTGTCCAAGCACTCCACTTTTAGGGTTTTCCACCCCTAAGGAAATAAATAATTGTACAAAGAAGAATATACATAAATGGTCATTTCAGCACTGTTTCTAAGAGTTAAAAACTAAAAATAACTTAAATGTCTGTCTTAGGCTGGGTTCTCTAGAGAAATAAAACCAGTAAAGCATATAAGTATATATAAAGAAAGAGAGATTTATATCAAGGAAATGACTCACACTGTCACAGAGGCTAGAATGTCACAAGTTCATCCGTAAGCCTGGAGGCTTCTCCTGATTCACATAGCCACAGGGTCTTGTGAACCCAAGATCAGCAGGTGAGACAGCAAGGTTCTTGCTCACAGGCGGCAAAGACCGATGAATCCCAAGATCAGCAGGTAAGACAGCAGGTAAGCTGCTAGCTCAAGTCCCAAGAACCCGAGATCAGACAAACAGGAGCCAGCTGCAGGATCCAGAATGAGCAAAAGCCCTCCTTGAGCTTTGCCAGAAAGTCCACTTACATTTGATGCAGGCCACACATCCAGGTTAACTCCTTTTAAACTGATTGGCTACTCAGAACAGATACCATCATGGAGGTGATCACATTATATCAAATCTCATCATATGACTGTCAAACTATATCATAACTGCCAAACCACTGGGAATCATGACCCAGCAAGTTGCCACATAACCTTAATTATCACAGTCCACCCCTTGTCAAATTGGCACTTGTACACATCTCATTAAACCATACATAATCTCTGAATAAAGACAATTATAAAGTCATACTTGTGCCTAACATGATACAACGAACACACATACAGCCAAATATGCACTAGCCCTATTTATATCTTATATTTTAGAAGTGAAAGGAACAAAGATATTTGATGCACACATACAAGGAAGAAATACTCATAACAATTACTGTCCCCGTTTCTGCAACTGGTCATGTGGTGGTAACTGGATTTAGAACTACCTTCTTCCACCATCCATTCTACATTCCCTTTGCCCTCAGCAAGCACCTCAGCTGGTCGTGGTTCTTTGCCTGGTGCGGTGACCCAAACTTTCATTCCTGAAGGGTCTGTGCCATTAGTAGTCATGTCAGAATTGGGTTGCTGTAGTTTTCCACTGACCTTAATCACAGGGCATGGTAGTACTAAGAGATGCCCTAAGAGATCTACTGCATTCCAGACATACTCTTCTTTACCTCCATTATGTAATATCAATCTGATTTCCTCTTGGTAATCAGGATCAATCACACCAGCCAATATAGTAACTTGCTTCTTTGCCTATTGATCCAGAGGCATAAGGACCCCAAAATGGCTATGTGTCATTCTTAACTTCCAGTTCAATGGAATCAGTGATGTGCCTCCAGGTGGGAGCATTCCTCCCTTTGGGACTAAGACCTCTAGACCTGCAGAGCATAGGGTAGTGAGGACAGGAAGCAAAAATTTTGCAAGTATCACTAGGGGTAATAGTGAGTGGTTCCACTCCTGTTTCCACTCCTTGATTCCTGGACACATGAATCCTGACTATGGGAGAAACAGCACCATACATTAGATGCAGTTTAGAGCATATACATCCTCCTGGAGAACATTGCCCCAACCCTGCAAGGTATTGCCACCTAGCTGGCATCATAATTGTGTCTTTAGAAGGCCATTTCATCATTTTATCAAGCCAGCTGCTTCAGGATGATGGGGAACATGGTAAGAGCAGTGAATTCCATGAGCATGGGCCCATTGCCGCACTTCATTTGCTGTGAAGTGATTCCCTTGATCTGAGGCAATGCTGTGTGGGATACCATGATGGTGGATAAGGCATTCTGTAAGTCCACAGAGGTAGTTTTGGCAGAAGCATTGCATGAAGCGAAGGCAAATCCATACCCAGAGTAAATGTCTATTCCAGTAAGAACAAACCACTGCCGTTTCCATGATGGAAGTGGTCCAGTGTAATCAACTTGCCACCAGGTTGCTGAGTGATCACCTCGAGGGATGGTACCATATCAGAGACTCAGTGTTAGTCTCTCTGCTGCTGGCAGATTAGGCACTCATCAGTGGCTGTAGCCAAGTCAGCCTTGGTGAGTGGAAGTCCACATTGCTGAGCCCATGTATAACCTCCATCCTTGCCACCATGGCCACTTTGTTCAAGAGCCCATTGAGCAATGATGGGAGTAGCTGGGAAAAGGCGATGACTGCTTTCCACAGAATGAAGCATCCTATCCACTTCATTGTTAAAATCATCCTCTGCCAAGGTCACCCTTTGGTGAGCATTCATATGAGACACAGAGAGGTCTATCCCCATACCTCTTCCCCATAGCTCCTTGTCTCCAATTTTCCAATCATGTTCTTTCCAAGCCCCTGACCATCCAGCCGAACCATTAGCCACAGCCCATGAACCAGTATACAATAGCACATCTGGCCATTTCTCCTTCCAAGCAAAGTGAACAACCAGATGCACTGCTCAAAGTTCTGCCCATTGGGAGGATTTCCTTTCACCACTGTCCTTCAGGGAGGTACCAGAAAGGGCTGTAGTGCTGCCGCTGCTCACTTTGAAGTGGTGCCTGCATATCGTGCAGAATCATCTGTAAACCAAGCACAAGTTTTCTTACCTCAGTCAACTGATCAGGAACTCCCCATGAGGCCATAGTTGCAGACTGGGAGATGGAAGGTAATGTGACAGGAGTGGAGACAACGGGTATCTGGATCACTTCCTCATGCAACTTACTTGTGCCTTCAGGTCCTGCTCAGGCCTGATCTTGTATATACCACTTCCATTTAATAATGACATGATGCTCTGCATGTCCCATTTTATGACTCTGTGGGTCAGACAACACCCAGTTTATGATGGGTAGCTCAGGCTGCATGGTGACTTAGTGGCCCATGGT